AATGATGCCACACAATCTCTGTGCTCTACACTAAGCTAGTGCCTGGAAAGCCTGTGTCCTCTATCCACCAAGCCTGCTCGCCCAAATCAGTCCCGTCAAAACGAGCGAACGGGCAGTCTAAAACAGGTCTCAGAATTCCTCTCACGGAATGACCTCCTAAATCCATATCAGTCTGGTTTTAAGAGTGGCCACTCTTCTGAAACGGTTCTTCTGTCTGTAACAGAAGTCCTAAGGGTCAGCTAAAGCTGCAGCCAATCCTCGGTTCTTATCCTGCTTGACCTATCAGCTGCCTTTGTCACAGTCAACCACAGGATCCTGCTATCCGCTCTCAGCAATCGCACGCATGTTTTTCGAATCCTACCTCTCAGGGCGTTCCTACAATGTTTTGTGGCAAGGATAATTATCCTCCTCCCACTGGCCTCTCCACAGGAGTCTGTGGAGAGGCTCAGTGCTAGGGCCCCTTCTCTTCTCAATTTACACCACTTCACTGGGGCCGATCATTCGCTCACACAGCTTCTCTTACCACTGCTATGCAGACGATACACAACTCTACCTATCCTTCCCGCCAGGCGAACCCACCGTCTCGGCACGGATCACGGACTGTCTCTCTGCCATATCTGTATGGATGAAGGCTTGCCACCTTCAACTAAACCTCTCTAAGACTGAACTCTTGGTCATTTCGGCCAAGCAATCTATCCACCATAACATCAAACTACAAATTGACTCTTCAACCATCACTCCAACCAAGGTGGTGAGAAACTTGGGTGTCATGATTGCATGACCAGCTGTCCTTTTCAGACCATGTTGCTGCTGTGTCTCGGTCATGCCGCTTTGCTCTATACAACATAAAGAAAATCAGGCCCTACCTCACTCAGTATGCCACCCAGCTTCTGGTACAGGCCATGGTTATCTCTCACCTCGACTATTGCAATGCCCTCCTAGCAGTTCTTCCAGCTTGTGTGGTGAAACCCTTAGAAATGGTTCAGAACGCAGCAGCGCATCTGGTTTTTGATCAGCCCACAAGGACTCATGTCAGTCCATTACTCAGTGACCTCCACTGGCTCCCCGTGGCCTCCAGAATCAGATTCAAGTCACTAATGCTTGCATACAGAGTGACTACTGGGTCTGCACCCATCTACCTAAACTCCATAATACAAACTTACGTTCCGTCTCGGCCGCTACGCTCCTCCAACGAATGCCGCCTGGCTCTGCCATCCCTTCACACAAAGCAATCCCTGTCCTGGCTATTCTCATCTGTGACACCACGATGGTGGAACGTGCTACCACACGCCATCAGAGCAACTTGAAAACTCATCTCTTCCGAGAACACTTCCTCTTAGAACACCTCTAACTCCTAACCGGTGCTCTTCTTCTTTTTCTATCTCCTTACAATTATCTTGTTTTGATTGCACTTTTTGTTAACTCTTACTTCCTTCCCCAGGTATTTACCCCACTGATGTGATATGTGCTATGAGCTCGTACTAGTATTTATTGCTGCTCTTACTAGTATGTATTGTCAGTTGTAGATCTGTATTTGATGCTCTGTTGATGCCTGTATGTTGTTCCTCAAATGCAAGATGCTTTGGATAAAAGCGTCTGCCAAATGAGTAAATGTAAAAAGTGACTAATCTTTTGAATAATTTATTCTATGTAAGCAATGTTTTCATTTAGAAAGACCAACAATTTACAATTTACTAACGACAACAAGTCAGTGGGAATTAAACATTATGTTGACAGCATTAAGTTCACCATGCAGCTGTGATCAATTCATAGTTTTCACGTGATGTCACATTCCATGAAAAACGCTCCTTTTTCCTTTTTCCACTGCCTGCCAACCAGTGATACACTGTTACTATGAGTTTTTTTCTTTTGCATTGCCAAATTGCTGGATGGTAGTTGTACTTTCTGATGCACAAATCGAGGAAGAGACAAGCCTGAGCTGTGTTAGGTGAGGGATTCCCCACAAGGTAAACGTAAACATTACCGCAGTTGAGTGGCGGCAGGGACCTGGCACTTTTTAACGATAGACATGCGGCAGCGGATGCTGTAACATGGATTTGAAGTGCCCAACACTTGTAGTTTGTGTTCATATCTTTCTTTTTCTTAAGTTGAGAGGTGATCCAAATAAATGTAACTGCTTTTGCGGCGTCTCTACGGGGGAGTCGTGGCATGAGCCGTTGTGTTGGTCTGTTGTTTTGCCCTCCAGGTACCGCAAATGTCACGTGACTGAAAACTATGAACTAACAGTGGGATGAGGTGGGAATTGAACCCAGGTCTTGCTCTTAAGACCAACCACAGTATGAACTGAGTTATCACATAACGACTGGAATAAAAGGGGCTCCTCCAGAGACATTTGACTAACCTATTGAACCACCAGTCAGCCTGCTGATAAGGACACAATTTGATCCTTTGTTGATTAAAAAAAAAGTGCATTTGCTTAAAAAGCATGCACTAATCTAAGAGTAAAAAATGATAGCTGAAAAGCATTTCATTTTGTACTCTTTAGTTAGTGCTTGAGTAGCTGAGCATAAAAATATACATCATGTGTCCAAACAGGGAGGAATATATAGCAAGTTAAAGAATTTGTGACATGGGGAGACCTCAGGCTACAGCTACAACAGGGAGTGAATGGGAGACGACGGAGTTTCCAATCAATGATTCAGAGATTTAAAAAAAACAAACAAACAAAAAAAAAACTAAACCTCCACTGAGCAGGATTTTGACATTTTGAGGGAGAAAAGGCATGTGGCTACATTTTCTGTAACCTACAGCTCAAAAGGAGTCTGTAGCTGCACATATGCTGGAGCATTTAGCTCTGTGACGTGTTCTCTGGAGTGACAAATCACACTTTTGTGTGAAAGTGTCTGTCTGGTTGTCTTTTGTCGGGTGGTAGCCAGGAGAACGGTACTTGCCAAGTGTAAAGTTTGGTGGATTGTGGTGTGGGGTTGTTTTTCAGGGGTTGGGCTTGGCCCCTTAGTTCCAGTGAAAAGAACTGTTAATGCTTCAGCATACCAACAACTTTGTGGGAAAAGTTTTGCGCACCAGTCCATCGAGGCTTCGTTTAATCTATGCAACTATATAGCGTACTGTTTCGCACGGACATTTATGACAGCCCCACATCACACTTACGCTGTGTGAACACGACGTGTTTATGATGGTGCTGTTTACAAAGTGGAGGAAGAGAGAGAAAATAGCAAGGGACTAAGAAGAACGTGTCCAAAGTATGGGATTATTTCAAGATAAAATAAAACAACAACTCTGTTACAGTCCGTCCACCGTAAAACTAGTAAAATAATTTAACCATATTATTATATTTATATATTGTATTTTAACCATGTAGCAGTTTCTAACCTGTAACAAACACTTTTTACTCCATAAAGAGATGAACTGCACACACTAAAGAATATTAAAAACACAGAGTATTTGTGCTTTGAGTAGTTAACGAAGTACTTTTATTCAAGTGGGTTTGTCAAATGGTATTTTTTACTTACTAATTATTTTCAGAACTTTAAACAGTGGCTGGGGTCTGCAGTACGAGGACTGACATGGGTGAATCTGAGACAGACAGCAGACTGACGGTGATATTTATTGTACTCAAGGGCTCAGCTGAGCTGATTACTTGAGGAGAGCTAGAGAAGTGTTTTTAGTTTTAATAACTAATGTTAATGTCTCATGTCATTGGGAACTGTACTTGCATAAAATTGCCAGTTGTTTAGATGGCTCACAGGTCAGGTAGTAGCGCCTCAAAGCACAATGTTGTTAAATGGCTACTAACATAAATGTTGCCCATCAACATCTTGTAAAAAAACTCTGTGTTAAACGGCGCCTTGGTTGTGAAGGGAGCCAGAAAAACACGGACATGGTGTTGATTAACACAGACAGTGTGGTCACATGGAGATCTACGGTCTCCCGTTTTAAAGAGTGATGGCTGTTTGCTCTCGAAGTTGTTTTATTCTACGTCGACAGAAGGAAAGAGGTGTTGATGTCATAGGCTACTGGAGTCCTCACCTGACTCTAATTTATTTCCCCACATTGATCTGCGTCTGAATCCAAGTGTTTGTCTTTTTAAAAGGTTTTTCTCTTTGCCACGAGTTTACTGACACACACTCCAAAGACAAATGTAGAATATTTATTAGACATCATGTTAGACATTCAACAATTTCCCGTAACAACAAGCAGCGTTCACAGCGCGACTAAGTGGCACGTGACAGGTTCACACACACGACTCCAAAGACGAATCAGAAAGGTAGACAGAGGCATTCGCGAGGACAGCTACGGATTCTCTTCCTGTTTTCTACAGCTGTCGTCTCTATGACAACCACAGACGCATTCGGCTGACGGTCACCAGGTACCAGGGCCACTCGTTAAACCGAAACACCGGAAGTGCTGGGTTCGTGCTAAAGGTGGTGACAGCCACCCCTTACCAACACCATTAGAAATGTCAGTGCCTAAAACTTCGTCACTGACTGTGTGCATGACGAGCTGCTAACCCTACAGCGGTGCACGCGGCCGTGATGTGCTAGCCTGTGAGCTAGCAGGTAAGGTTAGCCTCTTTTGTGTTGCTGCGACGTATCAAACGGTGACGTTTCATTATGCGTTGTGTCTTTAGTCTCGTGAGGAAGTCGTGAACACTGACCTGAACATCGGTGCTATCAGAGCACGAGGCTGCTGTTTGGCTCCTGTGGTCCGGGTTCTGGTTCTCCATCGTCCTGCAGGTCTCCGCTGTGACTGGTGGACCGTGTTGTCCTGGACTGAGTCTGGATTCTGGTCTCGGAGCTCTTCAGGCTGAGATACAGGAGCGCTGCGGGATCCCGCGACCCGGAAATGCAACCAGAGCAGGTACAGAAGAGAGTTAGAGAGTTGCGGAAGTGACGCGTGTTATGGGGCAGCCAATAGTTTCAGCGCTGAGCTCGACAGGCAAAAAGCACACAATGGAGGAAAGACTGTGATTCAACTAGAAACACAACAAACAAGATAACAAAGATGGGGAGGCAGGAGGGAGAATGAAAACAGCAGTAATGAACAGGGACGAGGCAAAGACTTTTGTTAAGCTGCATTGCTCAGATCATTTGCAGGAAGAAGAGAGAGAAAGAAAGGAAAATCTGACAATATGGAGGTTACAAAGAAACAAAGAAAACTCTAATAATTATTCTAAGTAGTTATGATTGTGGTGAACAAACAACACAACTGAATACCAGAGCAAGACACCTGACACATTTGGAGTAGCCCAAAATCACATGTTGGTGTTTCATCTTCATACATGTTGCTTTTCATTAATCTAAAGGCACTCCACAGTCTCTCAACTCCTCATGAATTGAAATGCCCAAAAGTTAGACTCGCTTTTATTGTTATCATTTTTTTGCCAAATAGCTTACGATCCGACGGAAGTGGATTGCGTTCACTTGAGAAATGAAGGGCCAATTTGTTTTACAGTTGTTTTCCTGAGGTGAATTAAACTTCAGAAGATAATCATCTCTATGCATTTCATGTCCAAAAATGCCTTTATCAGGGACAAAGCAGACGTCCAGGAGTCGTTTTTTGAATTACTCGCCTTGGCCCCAGGTAATGTTAATGGATAAGTCAGGACACAGCACACACAAGATTTTGTATGGTGGTGAAATAGTCCACTTAGTTGTATTTTCAAATGTCATTTCAGCTACCAGGACCGCCAATCAGCCAGGACTCACCAAGGATAAAACCCCTCAAGGTGACTTTGAAAATGGGATAAGCCGACCAGAAATTTCAGATGCCAGCGAAATAGTCCGCTAGTAATATTTAAATATTTAAAGTAAGTCATTACAGCTACTGGGAGTCAGCGCCAATCAGCCTGGACTCAGTCAAGGAGCAACGCTCAAACTAACAAAAATCACCAGAGGTTACAAAGAAACATGAAGGTTTTTATTAAGGCACAACACTTGCTTCATTTACAGAAAGGAAATCTTTATAAAGATGTAGCAGTCATTTATTTCTGTGGTGAATTTACAAAAACAATTTATGGGGCAGCATAACTACTTTTCCACAATTTGTTGTTGTATACCTATTACATGAGTTTGCTTACTCCTCTTTTCAGAGAAGCAAGACAGGTTTCCAATGTCAGATAAAAGTAAGTTTCACGGGAAAGTTACTAATATATTTTTGGATTCATATCTAGATTAAGTGTTCCTTTTGTCATGCAAACTTTTTCTTATGGATGTATTAGATCAGCCTTTATTTGTCTCACAGGTGAGAAATTTCAAACATTACATGAAATAAAGTAAAGTGATAAGTGACATTAAACATAATACTAACAATAACAAAAATTATACAATACTAAAATGAAAAAGAAACTATCTTTTTACAACTATAAAACAAATAACCAAAAATGAAACAGTGCAAGAGATGATATGCATGTTAGCGTGCTTATCCTTTAAAACAGATAAAACTAATTCCAATCTTAAACAATGCAACGTGACATTGTGCATAGATTTGCACTCTGAGTTGTGATTATAAAGTCTCACGGATGCAGGAAGAGAAGATCTTCTGAAGCTCTCCTTCACGTTGAAGGAGCTGGTGGTCATACCTCAGTATTGTGATATTATCTTTTATAGGGTTAGATTCTGACACAATGTCTTTGTTGTCATTAGGATTCCAAAGAAAAGTGCTGATGCAGCTTGTCGAAATAAAAGAAGAAGTTAGAGGGATTGCACAAAGGGTGGAACCAGACGTTGGCTGAGTCAAACTTTGTGGGTACGAATAAAAATGATCTTAAGTTATTAAAATAGTTTTTTGTTCATAGTATTTATATTTATTGTATTTATAATATTTTATTTTTGTCATTGACTTTTTGTCGTCATGTTGTATCTTAAGCTGTTAAATTTTGTCTTTTTTTAACTAAATAAAAAATCTTTTATTTGTTTGGATGGATTGTTATTTATGAGAACCTGTTATATTTGAGTTAAAACAATCCTTTGGCCAGCAGTGGAGTAAATTATGTTAATATGAATGTTCTCTTAGACGTATACATATAGTTGTTCAATTCCAGTCCAATTCATGACTGGACTATTTTAGGGCTGTGGTTCGACATCTACTTAACTTGCTCAGATGCTGTTTATTCCATAATAAACTGGCGTTTAATGAAATAACGACCTTACTGGGCTGCTGATCTTCCATTATAGGAGGACTGGTTGTTTCTATTCTCTGCACACAGTTTGCTCCTCCAGTGACATCTGTTGAACAAACTGAAGCTCCTCTGCTGCCTCCTGCTGGCTGCTTCCTGTTACTGTCAGTCTGTTCGTCCCTCAGGACAAACTGGAGAGCTCCTCACAAAACCTTCACATTAACACAACAGCTGCATTTACTACACTGCTGAACTCAAGTACAACACTCAGGTACTTGTACTTTACTTTGGGTAACTGTGATGGCATTTCTCACTATTTACAGAATTTTCAATCTACAATCAATCGATTAATAGAGAAAATAATCATTAGCTGCAGTCTAAAAGAAAATAGTTCAAAATGAGCTCCAGCTCAACAAGTACAGCAGTAAAATCCTGCTTTTACATTAATGAGTTATTAAAGTAACAGAAACTTCATATAATTAATATTTTGCTGAAAAATCAAAGATATGACATTAAACTTTTTGACTTACTGAGCGGTAAACCTCACTGTACGATCACAGAGAGAAGTGAACTGTTTCAGGTTTGTGAGTCTGTAACACTTGAGTTCAGTGACTGTATTGCTGGCTAGTTAGATGTTATTAGGTGATATTATCTCACTATTAGAGATGTTCGACTGATTCCGAGGCTCGTTTCTCTCCTGTGAAGTGCACAGTTTCAATACATTGTGTCTGAGCTTGTCTCAAATGATCATCTCAGGGCGTTTTACAGCTGATCTCAGCACATTAGTGGGATAAGTATGAGAAAAAGTACGAGGACATTTCCTCCTGGTGACAAATATACCAAGTAGCCTATAGGTACATCTACTGTAAAATAATTTAATATCGTGGAAAAGTTCATTTTCTTCCATAATTTAATTCAAAAATATAATCTTAGAAATATTTCAACCTTTTTTTTCATTTTAATCTTGATGATTAGGGCTTACAGGTCATAGAATCAAAACTATAGTAACCCAAAATGTATTAGAATTTCAGAATAAACTCAAAACACCTGCAAAAGTTTCCTTAGAGTCTAAATCTCTCAGTCTGGTTCTGGTGCTCACAATGAACTTTTCCACCATATTCAAATTTTAGATGATGAGTTTAGATGCTCCTGTACTAATGTTACAAAAGCAATAATTGGCTAATTTAATGAATATCACTGTCCAAACACATCACATGTCTGAATCTCATAAATACCACACCCTTTTCATTGCACACGAGACTAAAATTATCAGAATCAGTGAGTTATGGTGGCATTTCAGCCTCAATCTAAAAGTGCTTACTATGATTAACCGCGCTAAAATTTTTTTATTGTTGCTCTGCACTAGATTTTACCCATTTTAAATAGTAGCCTAACAAAAAAAGTGTTGATAATGTGTCAGGCCGCCAACAATAAATCAATGTGTGGGAAACTCATACTATAAAGGTCATCCAGCATGATCATTGCCTTTATTTAGGCATTAAGGGTGTCAGCATCTGTGACTGAAGTAAAATGAATTAATGATTTTGCTGAAGGCTACAGTACATAACGTGAGGCTACATGCTGCAACATTATCCTCACTTTCCGTTGAAATTTTTTTTTGCTACGTTTTGTTGGTGCTGAACTCGCCTTAGGATTCCTCTGTACAGGATACTACAGTCATTTTCATTGGCTAGAAAGCATCACGTTACCTTCCTCTGATTCGGTAAAATAAAACAGACCCCCATTTTCCATTGATCTTTTGCATGTGGAGTCGCCTGAAACATCAATTTCATTGGCCTGTAAAGCACTGGATTTGCAAAACAAGGAAGTGACATATATAAACAACCCAGATATTCCCGTTTTCAGGTATACGGCTAAAAAGACCACAAATCTTTATCATTTATCGTTTTAAGCTATAATACTTTTTAACAATATTCCAATCCTTCCCCTATTGTTTCATTATTGTACTAACGAAAAGTTGGACTGACTTCAGTGTTTAATGTTAGCTGTTTCTGTCACTGACATTAAAACTTCCTGTATTTCTGTCCCCTATTAGCGGCTGCTCTCATCTGGTTCTGTCCTTCTGCTTCTTTACAACTTTGTAATCATTAAATAAAGTTATTCAAACTGCTCCTGCTGTGCAGCTGATGTTGTGCTTTGTTGTCCTCTCAGTCTGTCAGGTGGAGGTGGAGGAGGGGGTGGAGTCTGTCCTGCTGCCCTTCAAGACCACAGCTCACCTCCCTGAGGACATCAGAGTGGAGCTGAACCCATAAAGACGGTCCACGTGTATCAGAACGGCTCTGATCATTCTGACCAACACTGAGTCTACACCTCAGCAATTGATGGAGGACAGATGAAGAAAGGATGAAGACAGGAGGACACTTTTTCAGCTTCTTCTTCACTCTTACTCCTACTGACTCACCCAGTCTACACACTCACTATTGATTGTGGAAACTCTGCTTGTGTTTTATTCTCACACTCAACATGTTCCACTTTTTATCAGTTGACCATCACCTTTTCTAAAGTGCTCACAGGTCTCTAAACATTTGTCCAAGTGTCTCTTTGTCCTGCAGAAGGCCGTCCCTCCCTCTGAACATCCACTTGGTGTGTCAACAAAAAACTCCTTCATTAACGAGAACATTGTTACCAGCAGGACGTTTCCATCATCACTGTTCCCGTCCACACTGTCACATGTCCAAAGACCTGTCCACAGAAAATGGACTTGTTGGATTTAGTTTTATTTAGTTATGATTTAGTCCTTGAGACGTTTGTCTAGTAAAATCAGTGTGGACAGTCTCCAGTGGCAGGTTTGTGACTGTCAGTGAGCAGCTTGTAGCTCTGATCACAATCAGCATCTTCCACTAACAGTAGAGCCAAACACACAACAGGAGCTGGACAGACAAATGTCTCCACACAACAAGCTGATGTCAGTGAGGAAGTGTTGTAGAAAGACTGGTGTATCATGTGATGTTTGTTCCTCAAACACACACATAGATGTGTAGTGATGGTGTAACCCTCCCCTCCATGTCTCTGCTGGGACGTCCTCACAGGCAGCATGTTGTCTCTGGGTCATTCTGCTTCCTCCATAGTCCAGCTGGTGACCCAGAGATCCACAGAATGTGAGCCTTTATAACAGGACAAATGATTTTAATGTGACCGTGGACGTCTACAAACACATACTGATAAAAGTCCCCTGGGGGCCCCTCCCTTTCCCTTTGGGGACAGGAGTAATTTATGTTTAGGGATCGGCTGTGTACCTTTTATACATACCCACTTGAAAATGAGATGCTGCATCTCAAGGGACTATCCTTCAATAAATTCAATTCAATACTTGTGTACAAAATAATATTAATAAAACAACTGTGTAGAGTTGTGTTTTATTTAGTTTGGGTTGCAGGTAGTGAATCACTTTTCGTGGTTGTTTTCTTTTCCTTGTTTTGTTCTGATGTTCTGGCCTAGTGCTCATCATGCGCGTGGGATAAACTTGCCCATTGACCGTGAGCTCCCTTTGCACTGGGTTAACGTGTCTGCTGGTCAACACTGAAACTAATGAAAAACTAAACTAAAACTAAGCATTTTCAAAAAAGAAAAACTAAAATACACTAGCAAACCCACATTAAAAACTAATTAAAACTAAATTGAAAAGTCAAAACGAATGAAAATAAAAACGAATTAAAAATAACATCCTAAACTAGAATAACCTTGCTCTGAATGTTCTAATGATGATTCAGCAAATGAAAATGATTCCGTGTGTGGAATCCAAATCAGAAATGGATCCTTTAAACTGTCGCTTTGTCTGATTCCTCTTCTTTGACCACAAGACATCTCTCTACAGACCACAGTCCCAGACCCCACAGCTCCAGAAACAGAAACCCTGGCCAACAGATTGAGAACCTCAGCCCTAAAGTACAGCTGCTCTTCCTGGGTCCACATTCAAAGACACACATTAAACATTACAGTCCACTCACATGGCAAACATGAGACAGACACTGATATTTGTATGGATGAATAAAAGCTACAAAACAAACAGCAAAGACTACAAATCATGGTCCATTTGCGTTTCAAATGTATTTAGACAGTAACAACTTTCATTACTGCTTTCATCAGTACTGCTGTTCAACATGCAACACCAAGGTAACCTGGTCACTACTGGAAGATATCACTACACAGGTTTATTATGTAAACACAATCCCAAATAGGCGTCACAAGAAACATTACAATAATTCCTTCATTTGAGTAACGTTTTCAATAGTTTAAGTAATAAGCTTGTACTTCCTCCGGCTACAACAGCTGGATGTGGTTCTCCAGTTGTCTCCTGCTGTCACACCGCCTGTCACCACTAGGGGTTCTCAGAGCTTTCAAAGTCAGTGTCACTACTGAAACTTAAAACGTCTCCAAACTCAGTGTCCACGGCATCTGTAAACAATAACACTTTTTAATTTGAGGTTTTAATTTCAAACATTTGTTGACAGAATGTGAGCCTTTATAACAGGACAAATGATTTTAATGTGACCGTGGACGTCTTCAGCTGCACACAAACACACACTGATAAAAGTCCCCTGGGGGCCCCTCACTTTCCTTTTGGGGACAGGAGTAATTTATGTTTAGTAAGAGAACATGTTGTAGTTTGAACATGAATTCCAAACTTTGATGGTAACATAATAGTGCTCAGCAGAGACTGCAGACTCTGGCATCATGGCCTTTTTTAGGCTGTTATTGGATTGGACACATTACTGTCACCAGGTAAGGACAGGTAATTGCTCCTGTTCATCCTGATCTGTCTTATCAGTGATCAGGG